TAAAGGCCCCCTTACATCAAAGCCTCCTGGCCTTGTAGGCACCGGGCAGGAGAGCCCGTCCTCAGGGTCATACCATTTCCTGCCCCCTCAGGGGCGGCTCACAGCACCCTGGGACCAGCCGGCCGGCCGCCCTTCCATTTCTTCAACAGAGCCTGGTGGACATCCTTGTTGTGGAGTGTGTAGATGAAGGGGTTCAGGACCGGGGCCACCACGGTGTTGAGGATGTGCACGGCCTTCATCAGGTCCAGGGCCTCCCTGATGGAGGTGCGCATGTGTAGAAAGATGGTGGAGCTGTTTAGCATCTTTGGTCTCACCCAGCTGTGCTTGAAAGTGCACCAGGGGGCTGCTGGGCCCTGAGGACAGTCTGGCGACAGCCCCACCAGGGAGCCCAGCCGGCTGGCATCCCGCAGCTGTGCGGGCGGGGAGCTGAGCCCTCTCAGCACCTGCTGCAGACACAGCTACCACGCCTGGTGGGTGGTAGGTCAGGGAGACGACAGTGCAATTTCTGCTCAAATGGAAGTCGCCGGCTTGTAAAGGCTGAGCGTGAGACGATGCTGTCCTGGTTGCATTTGTGACATGAACAAGCGATTATTTGCCAGTTTCTATTTTCAAAATTTAAAAGTCAATATGCGATGCCTGAAAATCATTTGTCACTGCGCCCGCCTGTCAGATACACGCACGAACAGCCACCCCCTGAGTGTGTGACTCCAGCACCCGCCTTTGGGAATTGGGGGGCTTGCGTACTGACTCTAAGATGGCTGACATGGCCTTCGAGCACGGTTTCCAAGAGCTAAGCAGTTAGAGAAAGACAGTGGGACTTGCTGGTTCTAAGCGGCTGACGTTTGGGTTTTCAATTTATGTCACTGATCCACTTTCTAGAAAGAGATCGAGTCTTTAACAACTTACTGAATGAGTTTGCTGAGTCACCCACCGTAATTTCTTAAGTTTGTAAAGATAATTGAGCACATAAAACAATCATTTTTCATAGAAACATGCACTATTTAGCAAAATGACTGGTCTCCACAGGCCCGGGGCCACGGGGGCCGAGGTGCTGCTGTGACGCGTCTGTCTGTCACAGCCCATCTGTGATGACAAGGCCACTGTCGCCCCCAAGCCTGCAGGACCTCGAGGTGCAGAGCGGCTGGCCTCTGCCGGACCAGCTCCCGCCCCGTCTTCTCACTCACCTCTGGGGGCAGCCGGGACTGTCTTCATCTGCAAGTGCCAGGCTCCGGCGGGGCCGCCCCGCTGTCCGGCTACCCTCTCACTTCATGGCTTCTTCCCCTAAGCCCTCCTCCTGCCCCATGAGCTCGACCCTCTGCGACCTCCGACCTCTCTGAGTCCCGTTCTTTTGCTCCCCCCACCCCAGGGCCCCGCCAGCTCAGCCGCCACCAGCTCCCTCCCTCTCCAGCTCCCTAATAAGCTTGTGCTGAGCCGGCCCTGCTCCCTGCCACAGCGGGCGACCCCGAGGGCCAGGCACTGCTGCGGGCTCCTGGTGCCCAGGGATACGGGCCCTTTCTAGCAGAGGCTTCGGATTGCTTTTCAGTCCTTTGACTTAAAGAAGGCCCTGCAGGCCCCGGGCGGAGCAGGGGAGGGCGCGTTCCTCCAGCTCCGGGCGTGTCCATCTGGACCTTGGTCCCAGAGCGCCGGGTGGGCGGGGCCAGTGGGACCGGGGGGTGGACAGCCCTCACGTCGAGAGAGGGGGAACGGCCAGACAGATGATCTTCAGAAACAACAGTAAAGTCCTCTGAAGCATGAAATAACCTGAAATTAAAAATTAACTCAGAATAGGAAAATAAAAATAAAAAATCTGTCCCAAAGCAGACCAAGGCAGCCAATGACGCCAGAAGTCCAGCTGTAGCTCCGCCAGGGCCCCCAGGGCTGCTGACCGCTGGCCGTGACCCAGGTCTGTCTGGGCAGAGGCAGCATCTCCTCAGGTGCTCAGTCTGCCGACTGCGGGCGTGGGGTGCGGGGAGCAGGGAGCGGGGCTTCTGCCCCTTGGCGGGCACTGTCAGGGCTCGCTCCCGCGGGAGGCGCGGCTCAGCTTGGTTGGGCTGGAGACCCCCTGGGTCCGGTCCGGCCGTGTGGGGCCTCGGCCCAGGTGGGGCTCTGCTCTCTTCTGCTGGGGCGGGGACCCTGCACCCTCCAGTGTCTTTGGGCTGGAAATGAACTAACTCAATGGAGACGATCGCAGGAGAGGAACAGGCCTGGCTTCTGCTCGTGCAGCGCCACAGAGGGCAGGATCCTGCAGGAGTTGGGGTGCTGCCTGGGCAGTGGCCACTCCTGGACAGGGGGTCCTGTGCTCAGGAACAGGGGTGTTGGAAGGCGGCTCCATGGGGTCCGGCACCTCCGGGTCAGCTGGGTCTGGTCCGGCTTGGCTGCCTTTAGCGCAAAATAATCCTCAGCTGAAGCCTCAGAGCCTTCCCTGGTCTCCTGGGAGCCAAGAAAAGGCCCGACCACCCCAGTGGCCCCGGCTACCCCCAAGGAGAGTCTTTAGCTGGAGGCTGGACCGGGTTGGGGGTGGCGGGCACAGGGCGGTGGAGGCTCCAGCTCCTCCTGGCCCCTGAGTGACCTGGACGCGCGGCCACCTCCTGCGGACACGGCCACTCGCGCAGCCCCCGGTACCCGACTCCCACCCGGGAGACGCGGGGGGTCAGTCCTGTGGCCTCCAGCTTTGAGCCCCTCCCCGCTTTCGCCGCACCCAAACTCCGCCTCCCCAGGTCTGCTGACTCTCACTGCGTTGAGGGACCTCCAGGACGGCAGCTGGGCGCCTCAGCAGCCCCCCACTTGCCTGGCTGTCAGGTGGGTCGGCAGGACCCTCCCTCAGGGGCAGGGGCAGGTGCTGGCTGGAGGAACTGCCCATGTGCCGCCCCAGAGTCCTCTGTCCCTTCCCCGCCGGCAGGTCACAGGCGCGTCCCCGGGAGGGCGGGCTGGCCCAGGGCCCCGTGTCTCCCTGGACATGTGCGTGAGATGCCTGAGCTCGGCCTCGGGGGAAGCCACGCAGCCTGCGCGGCTCTTAAAGGCCTTGCCCTTCCGGGGACGGCCTTGCTGGAGACGGAGCCGTCAGGACGCCTGTCCTGGAGCGGGGAGTGTGTGCAGAGACCAGTCCTCCGCCGCGGCCTCGGCAGGCCTGAATGGCCACCTGGAGGGACACAGGCGCTTCAGGCCAGGCGGAGCGGCTCCTCGGTGGCTGGGCCTCCCCCGCAGCTGTCCCGAGACTCGAGGCTCCCGGGGAGCGCGGCCTCCCCGCTGCACCCCGCTGTGGCCCTCCGGCCCACCCTGCTTGGTGACCGGAGCACTGGCCCGCCGGGCCCCCAGAGGCCCCGCACCCGCGGCCCCCGGCGTCCTCCTCCTGCCCTTGCTGCCTCCTGCTGCTTCCCTGCCCACCGGCCGCAGACCCGCCAGGTGAGAGGCCCCGGGACGCCAGCTCTCCCCACCCCAGTTCGGGGCAGCCATCGGCCCCTCCGGCCCGCGGGCCCCTCCCTGTCCTCTCAGACACGCGCTGGCCCGTCCGCGTCCTGCTCCCGTGCCCCCCCCACCATCCTCCCGGGGGTCCCCGTGTCTCCTGTGTGGGGCTGGGGGGCCGATGCTCGCCCGGGGGCAGGATGCGCGGCTCGGCCGCCGGGAGCCCTGCCCTGGCCGCGGGGCACTCCCAGAGCCGGCCCTGGGGGGTGCGCAGGAGCGCGCGCGGGTGTGGAGTGTGGGGTGTGGGGTCTGGGTGGGGCGAGCCGGGCTGCGGTCCTGGCTGGCTTTCGTCACCTGCTTCTCTGTTTAAAGCTTCCGAACCGCAGCGCCCTGCACCCCGCCCCGCCCCGCCCCTCCCGTCCTCCCTGCTCCTCTCAGTCAGAACACTTGGACGTCCCTATGTTTCCTGAGAGCCGCCTGCTCTCACTCAGTCACTTCCCTCCACGCCTCACCCCGACAATGACGCGCGGGACCAGCTCGAAGCCGGCTCTGGGGGCAGCGCGGGGCTGTCTGAGGCCGGTGGGGCCGGGGCTTGCGCGGGCGGAGTCTGTGTCCACACGGCCTGAGGCTTTTCCGGTCGGGGCCCTGAACATGCAGGACCAGACGTCCTCAGACCCTTTTTCACGGCAAGGTGGAAAGAGAGGGAATTAGCTTTCCGGGTCCGCAGCCGCAGCCCAAAGCCGCAGGAGCATCGCCGAGTCTGCGAGGCCGGCCGGGGCCTGGCAGAGCGCGCAGGGGCCTGGGGCGCCAGAGCCAGCCGGTCCCAGAGCCACGGCTCCCAGGCTGACACGCTCCGTTGGGGGCGCCTGTGCTGTGGGGCAGCCGTTGCGCGCTGTCCCGCCCTGCCTGGGAGCTGCGGGTCAGAAGGGCCGGGCAGCGGCGATGCCTGGCGTGGGGCTGCGGAACCGCCCTGGTGGGGGGCACGGCCCTAGGGGCGCAGAACACCCTGGCTGCCCCGTGGAGCCCGGGGCCTGGCCAGGGGGAATGTCCAGGCGGGGCCAGGGGCCTTGGTCCCCTGCCCGAGCTTTCAGGTTTTGTGATTTATCTTTCAGTCCACAGAGCGGAGCGTCTGTCTCGCGGGATTCTTCACCAGAGGCTTCTCTCCTTGGTGAGTCTTGAGGACATTTTATTTTTTGCTTCTACATCTGAGTCACTTTCTTTTTTTTATTGAGGTCACGTTGCTTGCTGTGAGTGATGTGGGGATGAGGCGCACCCCTGCAGGCCCCCCAGGTCCCCCAGGCCCCCCCGCCCCCCACTAGCTGCGCCCTCACTGGCTCTCAGTGTTGGGAGGCCCCAGGGGTGGCAGCGGCAGGCCCCTTCCCTGCCCCGCACCGGCTCGCGGCCCCACACAGAGTGGTCAGGGGAGGCAGAGGCCTGCGCCCAGCGACGGCCCTCAGGGAAGCGTCTGGAGCGTGCACAGGGGGCCTGGCCGGCAGCCTGGTGGGTGGGCGGGGCGGGAACGTGTCAGGGGCACTGAAGTGCTGCCCGGGCACCCCGTGACCTGCCCTCTCTGCCTGCAGGCGGCGTCTTGGGACGCCATGAACAGCTCCGGGCTGCCGGACTTCTTGCTGGCGCGCTTCACGGAGAGCCACGCGCTGCTGCGGCTGCAGGCGCTGCTGCTCACGCTGCTGTACCTGGTGGCCGCGCTGGAGAACGCGGCCGTGGCGCTGCTCACGCTGCTGGACCGGCGCCTCCGCACGCCCATGTACTTCTTCCTGCGGCACCTGGCCCTCCTGGACCTGGGCCTCATCTCCACCACCATCCCCAAGGCCGCGGTCAACGCGCTCACGCTGTCCGACTCCATCTCCTTCCTGGGCTGTGCGTTCCAGCTCTTCCTGGTGATCCTGCTGGACGGCTGCGAGGTGGGGCTGCTCACCGCCATGTCCTACGACCGCTACGTGGCCATCTGCCGGCCCCTCCACTACGAGGTGCTCATGAGCCGGGGGACCTGCCTGCGGCTGCTGGCGGGATCCTGGCTCGGCGGCGGGGCCGTGGGGGTCTTGTACTCAGCGGGGACGTTCTCGCTGAGCTTCTGTGGGTCCAGGACGGTCCACCAGTTCTTCTGCGACGTCCCGGCGCTGCTGAAGCTCACCTGTGCCAGGGAGCGCACAGCCATCAGCGTGGGCGTGGCTGTCGGGGTCTGCTACGGCTTCTCCTGCTTCCTGTGCATCCTGATCTCCTATGCGCGCATCTTCGCGGCCGTGCTGCAGGTGCCCGCCGGGCAGAAGCGGGCCAGGGCCTACTCCACCTGCCTGCCCCACCTGGCCGTGGTGGTGGCCTTCTTCCTCACGGGCTCGGCCGCCTACTTGAAGCCGGTCTCCGACCAGCCTTCCCTCCTGGACCTGCTGCTGTCCATGTTCTACTCTGTGGTCCCCCCGACCCTGAACCCCGTCATCTACTGTCTGCGGAACAAGGACATCCAGGCTGCTCTTGGGCGGGTGGTCTGGCATGCCCAAGGCTGTGCGAGATGGAGGAGCCTCTGAAGTGGGGGGACACCTTCCTCCAGCGTGACCAGCTGCTGGGCAGGTTTGAACTGGAGGCGGGGTGCCGCCTGGTACCAGGTGGTCACTTTGGATAGAAACGAGTCCTCCCGGGCACACCAGCTGATCTCAGGGTTACGCGGAGCCGCGTGGCTGACCAGGGCCGCCCTGGGCTCCGGGCACAGACGTGCTGGGTTCTTGTCCTGCCTGCCCCTCCCGGGCGGGGGCCTTGACCCAGCATCCTGGGTTTTGTGTCTGAGGTTTGTGTTCAGCTTTCCTCGTAGCGTCTGACTCTCACCATGTCGTGAAATGACCTTTAATTAAAGTGATGACTTTCGCTCAGTTTCATGTTAGAAACGTGCTCAATTTTATTCCAAGTCCACTTACTGACCAGTGTATGTGGACAGGGGGTCGCTCGGCTGAGCCGCAGCTGCTCGGCCTCCTCTGCTCTCCCGCTGCCTTGGCTCCGGCTCTCCGCCGCAGCGTCCCTCCCATGTCCATCCACGCTGTTGTGACAGGCAGGATTCCATCGTGTCCGCTGCAGAGCAGTGTCCACGCCATGCCCATGGGCACAGCTGTCCTTCTGGGGGCTCCGGGGAGTCCATTGCTACTGCTGTGAGTGGTGCGGCTGTGGACATGGGGGCAGAGGTCTACTGAGGGCAGCACACTATGGGGGCGTGGCGAAGGTGGACGCTGCGGGACCTCACGTGTGGAGATAAACCCCATGCCCAGAACAAAGCATCATCAAAGCCTTAGATTCTGAGGACAAACTGGGGGTCCCACAAGGGGCGGGGCTGGGCCAAGTTCCACTGGGTGATGCAGTGGGGTGCAGCTGCTGTCCATGTCCAGTGCTGTCCATCTGCGGCTTAAAGGACCATGCGCACCAGCTTCACTGCCTTACAAATTAAAAACCGGATTCCCTGTCATCCCCAGTGTAGGTTCTGGAACCCACTGACTGTTGCTCCCAGTGGAGCCCAGCGGTCCGCACGTCCAGGCCTCCTGCTTCTGGTCTGCACCGGTCCCACGCCCTCTTCCCCAGGATGGTCAGCCTGGCCCCCAAAGTTGCTTCCTCATCCTGCTGCAGGACCCGGCCTGTGTCCTTGTTCTGCTGAGGCATGCATGCCCACGCCCGGTGCACGCCCACGCCCGGGGCCCGCGCACGATGCCTGTGTGCTCTCAGTGAGTCCTGTGCCCTGGACACTTGCTGTGGGTGGGCTCCAGCTTGGACGCACATGCGTGGGCAGCTGTGTCGCTGCGACTGTGGAACCAAAGATGAAAAACGAGTCAGGATGACGTGTTTGGGGCGGGGACACCCAGACCTGATTATTCGCGTTGTCCATATACAGGCTCTTGTTTAAACAGAAGCCTGTGTGGCGAGCAGCAACGCAGCCCCTGCTTATGCTGGGAAAGACCAGGTCACTGCCTGGAGGCAGAGCTGACTTGGCACCGTCTAATGCAGCGCGGGGTTGAGTCGCGGGGATGGTCAGACACGACGTGAAGCAAACTGTCAGAGGTCACGGTGCTTCTCAGATTATTTTCCAAATGAATCCTCCTGCACCCCACACCGTGGCCCAGATCCCTGCAACAGACGCCCAGAGATCGGGACAGACAGGCGTGTGGCATTGAAGGCCACGCACGGGGGACCCCGGCCTCCCCATCTCTCCCTCGCCAGCCAGGCCTCTCGGGCCGAAGCGAGCCCCTGCAGCGGAGGCGGCGTCCTCGGGGGCGCGAGGCCCTCACAGGCCCAGGGAACGCAGGCCCAGAGGCTTCAGCTGTCTTATCAGCAAGTTTCATCCGTGTACTTTGAAGCCATGTTTCTGGTTTTCAATAAATCCCCGAGGGCAGGACTGCGCTTCAGCCCTGGCTGTGACCCTCCCGACCGGCCTGTGCTGGTGGCCTCCGCTCTCACTCAGCGCCCCGGGCCGTGACGGTGCTCGTTCCGGGAAGTTTACACTTTTCTTAGCGTGGATTCCGTGGCTTGGAGACACGAGGCCCGCAGGACCCGCGGGACCGGCTTCCCCTGCCTCGAGCTCACCCCGGCCAGTCCCTGGGGCGCAGCCGTTTCACAGCGAGCAGGCCAGAGTGTGGGCTTTTCTGAAACCATGACGCCATCTCCAGCACAGTCTTTTAAAAAGTATTTTATTGAGATACAATGAACATCTGACATTTGCAAGCTTGAGGTGCTGATCTGAACATATTGGGGGTCGGTCCCCCCACAGCTGGCCAGCCCCCCAGGCCTCCTGCCCTTCTCTGCGCCAGTGAGGACAGTCAAGTCTCGTCGGAAGCGCTGAGGCCCAGGAGGCTCCGCTGCAGCTGTCAGGCGTCTGCACCCCCATCTTGCCTGGACCCCGCCCCCCCCGCTGGGTCCCCCCCGCCCAGGGAACCCAGCCCGGCCAAGCGCTGCCCCTCCAGGGTCCCCGCCCGCCCCTCCCCGCCCCCAGCGCGGCCGTCCTCTTACTTCCCTGGTGGTTGTTTGACCCCGACATGAACCGGCTTGTGAATTAGTGTCTGAAAACAGGACACAGATACACGTAGTCCACAGTTTATAGTTTTCGAGGCGCTTCGCAACCTTTTATTGTGTGTGAAGCTAAATCTGCTGGTGGGAACAAGAAGACAAAACGGGGGCTGCTCCGCAGCTGGACACGCGGGGCGCAGAGGCGGGGTTGCTGTCGCGCGCGAGGAGGCTGAATGACCCCCTCGGGGGCTTCCTCAGGGCAGGCGTCGCCGATAAAGCTCTGACCATAACGTGCCTTTCCATATGCTTTATTCACACAAGCCGCACACGATCACACACCATGTCCCGCTCTTCCCTATCGCCGTGTCCTCCAGCGATCGCTGACCGCAGTGTCACTGTAGTCGCCGGGGAGGAGTCGTCCGTGGTCCGGCAGCTCGTGTTCAGCCTCTTGAACTCGGCGGCTCGAAGTCCGTGCCGGCTCCGCAGGACGCCCGGCGGCCGCAGCCCACGCACGATGTTCCGGGTCTTCTCCGGTGGATCTCGAAGGGCCGAGGTGGCTCTCAGTCGCGCAGCATAACGTGCCGACCTTGAGCTCACCTTGAGCCGAAACGCTTTGCGACCGCTCAGTTTACACGCTTTCCCTGAGCTCCGTGACATCAGTTATTTTTCTCAACACATTTTCAATAACATGTTTACACCCAAAATTCAATAACATGCACATAAATATTCACATCTTACTTCCACCAAAATATTTACTACATAGTCATCATCACAACAAAAATATTTGCCTTCACTCTTCCTACTACGTCGGGGTCCTTGACAGCTGGTGTCCGACAAAGGTGTGTGTCATGACGCCATTATCCACCAGCGCCGGCTGGGCGCAGTCTGCGTCTGCGAAGGGCTGGTATCCGACAAGGGTGCAAGCGATGTGGACATTTTATCTGCTCCTTACAGTGACCTGCCGGGCCCCTCTCTGTGCACGTCGTCCGTGCGGCGCTGAGCTGTGGGCAGGAGGGGCTGCCACGCTCGCTGCTACGTCCTCCCCACCAGCCCCTACGTCCTTCTTGCTGTCCCCTATGTCCACCTCGCGGGGACCCCGCTGCCGCCGCATGCCTGGAGCCTGCTCAGGGCTGCCCGCACGTCCCGGTTCCTCAAGGTGTAGATGGCGGGGTTCAGCGTGGGGGGCAGCACGGAGTAGGACACGGACACCAGGACGTCCAGCAGCGAGGGGCACTCGGGCACGGGCTTCAGGTAGGCTGCCGCCCCGGTCAGGAGGAAGGTGCTGACCACTGCCAGGTGGGGCAGGCAGGTGGAGAAGGCTTTGGCCCGGCCCTGTGCAGAGGGCAGGGCCAGCACCGTGGAGAAGATGCGCACGTAGGAGACCACGATGGCCAGCAGGCAGAGGAAGCCGTACAGCACCCCGGCGGCCACGCTGGCGTCGATGGTGACGTGGCTCTGCGGACAGGCGATCCTCAGCAAGGACGGGACGTCGCAGAAGAGCTGAGGCAGCGTCCGCGGGCCGCAGAAGGACAAGGAGAAGGTCCCGCCCGCGTACAGGCCCCCGAAGACGCCGCCCAGCGCCCAGGACGCGGCGGCCATGCGCGCGCACACGGCGCGGCTCATGGCGCCCTCGTAGTGCAGCGGGCGGCAGATGGCGGCGTAGCGGTCGTAGGCCATGGCCGTGAGCAGCAGCAGCTCCGCCCCCGCGAAGTGGATGACCAGCAGCACCTGCAGCGCGCAGCCCGGCCGCGAGATGGCGGCGCTGTGGGCCAGCGCGCCCAGCGCGGACTTGGGCACCGTGACGGAGACCAGCCCGGCGTCCAGCAGGGACAGCTGCCTCAGGAGGAGGTACATGGGCGAGTGCAGGCGCGCGTCCAGGGACACCAGGGCGGCCACCAGGAGGTTGCCCGCGAGCGCCAGCAGGTACAGGAGCAGGAAGAGGCAGCCGTGCAGCAGCTGCAGGCGCGGGGAGCCCGACAGCTGCAGCAGGATGAAGCCGGCCCCCGCCGAGAGGTTGGCCATGGCCTGGGCCTCCTGCGGGGAGAGGACGCAAAGTGAGGCGGGCAGCTCCCGAAGTGATGACTTGTGAACTGCATTTAATCTGTGCAAATTCTTCAGTGCATGTTTTCCTGAGCCCCCCGTTCTTTACTAGTGCGTCGTGAATGAGGTTGCGCTGTCACGGGAGGCGCCGCCCGCCTGCGCCGCCTCCTGCCCCGAGCTGGCCGGTGGCCCTGGGGATGGGCACGCCCCTCCCTGCCCGGCTCCTCCTTCCCTTACTGTTGCGGAGACGGAAGGAAAAGGGCGTGAGCGGCGTGAGCGGTGGGGCGAGGCCTTGCGAGGTGCTCGAGCTGCAGACACGCACTGGGCTTTCTGCCAGGCACGCAGGCGGAGGAGCAGCGGCCCTTGGGGGACAGCGGGGAGCTAGTGGGGGGCACCTGTGAGCGCACAGTCACCAGGTCACCCCGCGGGCCCCTCTAGAGACAGAAGCAGGAAACCAAAGCGAGACAAGGGGCGCAGGGCCCGCCCGCCCGGAAATGCGGCCGCAGCAGGAATGCGCAGGAAGTGCCGGCTGAGCCCCAAGGCCAGGCTGTCCCGTGTCCTGGCTGGGAAGGAGGCGTCACCTCTAGGGGAGTCAGGGGCCGCCTCCGCCTGGGGGCTGAGGAAGGCTCCTTCGGAGGAGACACAGGCAGCTGGATTTGGCTGAAGAAAGGCGTCCCGAGTGGGGCAGGCAGACTGCGCCGGGGCTGCCTGGCTGTTCGCTGCTCCCCGGCCCCCGCCCCGCCCCTCCTCCTGCCCGTGTCCGTCAGCTGCAAGCGGGGAATGTGGGGTGCCTGTGTCTGCAAAACCCATCCAGTTCTCCCTGTGCAGGGGAGGAGCGTGACGCGTGTCCTCGCGTGTCCCCTTGCTCGGGGAGGGTGCGCTCTGTCCCCGTGAAGCCTGCGGTGGGCTCTGGGGAGGCTTTGGTAAAATGCCACAGCCCTCGGCCCTCCCGCACCCCACCGGCTCAGCGGCGGCGAGATCCCAGGTCAGCACAATGCCCGAATCGCCGCACCCCACACTCGGACGGAGCCTGCGCCCATCGCCATGCCCGACCCGTCCTGCGGCCCCTGCTCCAGGCTGCGACACGGGGGCCGGGGGGGCCTGGCCCCGAGACCACGGCGGCCAGCAGAGACCTCTGCAGAGCGGATGCCCAGAGGGCCCGGCAGACCAGGCGGCCCTACAGGCGGGACTCGGGGGCCAGCCCGGCCCTCCCCGACCCCCTCCCCAGGCACACTCCCCTCCACGTGGCCCTGCTGGGCTCATCTCCTGGCCGCCTGGCGCTCGCTCTGGGTGCTGACGGGGGTGACCGGCTGGCCACCCCGGCCCCAGGCTCTGATGTAAGGCGGAGGAAGGGAAGTGGCTAGAGAAACCCCACGTGCTGTTCAGGAGACGCAGGGCTGGGCCGGGCGCAGCGGGGCGCTGTGTTCAGGGCCCAGGTGACTGCCGAGCCAGGCCCCTTCCCTCGGCTGGAGACTTGGGCACCTGCCTTTGGTTTTCTCACTGGTTCTTTCAGTTAACATGAGGCTGGTCTCCCTGACACGCGGAGGCGGAGTGGCAGAGCCGGGCCTGTCGGCTGGCCAGCGGGGATCCCTCAGCCCTGCCTGCAGGTCTGGGGGGCAGGCAGGCCGTGGGGTCCAGGGAGCAGGGAGAACCCACGGGGGCCCGAGCCCCCGCAGCAGACACACGGATGTCAGCGGCCACCAGCCTGCTACCCTCAGCCGCCCAGGGGGACACGCCCACGTGTGCCTGACTTTGGGACGTAGGTCAAGGCGTCCAAGGGACTGAGAAACTGCACCAGCGTTGAGACACTGCGCTTACCTGCCCCGGCGCCCCCAGACAGCCGGCCGGGGGCTCCGCCTTCATGACAGGCCGGCTCCCAGGCTGGGCAGGGCAAGACGGCAGGTCCTGGGCTCGCAGGGGTGGGGTGTGAGCTCGTGGGGCTGCCTCCGGGGATGGGCGTCCCGTCCAGGCCAGCGCAGGCCGGGTGGGCTCCTGTGGGTGACCTGGCGGGGCCGGGCAGATGCCGTCTCGGAGCCGCTGGGCCCGAGCTCAGCTGAGAAGGAGATGGCGACAGCTCTGCGCCCACCCAGGTCCCTCGTCCTCAGACCGGACGCCTGGGGAGGCCGGTCACCGCCCAGGAGCCCCGCCCGCCCCCCTGTGCCGCAGTCTGCTGTCCTCTGTCCGTGGTGCCCGTGGGCCGGAGCACGTCCTTCCTCGCTGGCTCTGCTGCGGCCCCGGCTCAGCCTCTTTAAATTAGAGACAGCGACGCGGGTGTCCCCCAGGGAGTGGGGAGCCCTCCGCCCTGGGGCTGCCTCCCATGGCCACGTGACTCCTCTGGATGCCGCCTGTGCCCTCGGGACAGTCTGGATGTCACTGACGCCGCGTCTGGTGTCCTTCAGGCCCCTGTTCCTCCTGGGCCCGGGGGCAGGACCGGCCGAGGGCTCCAGCTGTTCTGCTCCCCCCTAGGCCCTCGGCAGGGCACACGCAGTAGCCGCCCACGGCGAGGGGTCACGCTTCCTGGGACGCTTTGCCCGGGTCCCCAGCACAGTCCAGGCGGACGAAGGCCAGAACCCCACGGGCATCTCGTACCCGCACAGCCAAGTCTTGAAACCGTTCAGGACCTTTCAAGTGGAAACTCTCAGGAATGAGGCTCGAAGCCTCCGCCCACTCGTGTCCCCTGGAGGGAAGCGCCAGCCCCAGCCCAGCACACCCCGCGTCGGGCAGGCCTGGGGGGTGGCGGCTGCTCTGGAGGCCCCCAGCCCGCGCCACTCCTGAGGACCCCTCCTGGCACGGCCCAGGGCACGCCGCTGCCGGAACCGGACGCGCCCACTCTCGGCTCCAGCCACCCGCCGGCCGGCCCCGGCGCAGGGAGCAGCCGTGGAGGGGACGGGTGCGGACGCCCGAGCCAGCTGCCGAGGACGCGCCCGGGACCGCCTTGGCTGCACCAGCTGAGGGCGGCCGCCGACGGCCGCCGACCAGCGCTCTCCCGCGGGGAGCCGGAGCAGGAGACCACGGCAGGGCCGAGCCTTCTCCTCCGAGTCCTCGTTAACGCAGACGGACACGAGCACGTGTGCGGGAGGCCCCGGCGCTGTCCAGGCACCGCGTCCCACACGCACCCGGGGCCTGCCGGGCCGCGGCCGAGGGGCGGGCCTGCGACTGGCCGGGTCCTGCATTTCTGAGTCACATGCGGCGCTGTCAACCGATGTCACCTCAGCGACGTGTTTTAAAATATTTTTAGAGTAAACATAGTTTTTAACCTAAAAACTGCGAGTGAGGGACGCACAGTGGCCGGCAGACCGCGCGGGCCGTGCGGGTTCGGGTGCGCGGAGAGCAGCGCGCATCACACGATGCAGACAGGAGCCTGCAGGGTCAGGGCAGGGAGGCTGGCAGGTCCAGGGGCCCTGGGACGAGGTCCCCCGTGAGCCCCTGCCCGCGCTGAGAAGCCAGCACCCCCAGAGCAGCCTCAGGCCCCGCTTGCCAGGTGCCTCCACAGACGGCCCGTCCTGCCGCCTCAGCGGCTCACGGGTGGTGGCTCGACAGGCCGCCTCTGGCCGCGGGCTGCTGGCCCTGCGGAAGTGTCCTCTGCAGCCGCGGACTCGCGGTCGTTTCCTGTGTTCGTGAACCCTCCACGCAGCGGGGAGAGCACTTGTATTTACAGCTGGGGACACGTGACGTCCAGGACCAGCGCTGACTGCGGCGGGCAGGAGGCAGGGCCGGGCTGGGGGCAGGGGAGGTGCCTGGTGCGGGCAGCGGGGGTCACTTGGCTTCGAGTGACGTTTTGAAGCTCCGGCCTCCTAATACCAACTCAATCTTGTTTCGATGTAAGTTTCAACATGAATTCCAAATACTAAAAAACTAAGTATGAAAAAAAGAATTCCCATTTTATTTCTTGGGGTATCATAGTAGAGAAATGCAAAAAATGATCATAAAGTTCAAATTATTTTGTGCAGCTGCAAAGTTCTGGGAGCAGGGAACGTGCGTTTGCCCCTTCGGCCTCACTGGCCTCTCCCAGATTCCGTCTATGGTGGCGCCGGGGCCCACCGGGACCCACCGGGCGCCTGGAGGCGGGTCCTGTCTGCGCCGGGGCACGGGTGTGTTTTCCGCAGTAGCTGGGACCCCACCCGCGTCCCGGGGCTGGCGTCGCTCCGGCCTGGCCATGCTCGGGGCAGCGTCTGCCCCCGGGGGTCCCGCTCCCGGGTCTTCTTCGAGCCGGGAGGGCGGGCCACCTCTGGCCAAGCTGCCCAAGGGCTGCCCGCGAAGGGGTAGACAGGCCCTTCCAGACAGGCCAGGACACCCCCCACCCCTCTTTGCCTTCCATCTGCGAGCCCCGTTTGCCATAAGAGAGCCTCAGAGTCCAAGACTCACTGCGCATCCTCAGCGTTGCCCCCTCCTACCCACGGGCACACTCGGGAGGAAGACAGGCCCCGGCTGTGCCCGAAAGCGATGGTCCATCATGGCCTGCCAAGGACCGCAAAGGCCACACTGCTGGGAAGCCACAGATGGCCTTGCGGACGCCGCCCCTAGCGTGGGTCATGGCAGAGGCGCCGCAGCAGCCTTCCCACGGCCGCCTTGATTTCCCGGTTCCTCAGGCTGTAGATGGCGGGGTTCAGCGTGGGGGGCAGCACGGAGTAGGACATGGACACCAGGACGTCCAGCGGCGAGGGGCGCTCGGGCACGGGCTTCAGGTAGGCCGCGGTGCCGGTGGCGATGAAGGTGGTGACCACCGCCAGGTGGGGGACGCAGGTGGAGAAGGCCTTTGCGCGTCCCTGCAGCGAGGGGACCCTCAGCACAGTCTTGAGGATGTGCGCGTAGGAGAGCCCGACGGACACGAGGCAGAAGAGGGCGTACAGCACCCCGGCGGCCACGCTGGCGTCGATGGTGACGTGGCTCTGCGGACAGGCGATCCTCAGCAAGGACGGGACGTCGCAGAAGAGCTGAGGCAGCGTCCGCGGGCCGCAGAAGGACAAGGAGAAGGTCCCGCCCGCGTACAGGCCCCCGAAGACGCCGCCCAGCGCCCAGGACGCGGCGGCCATGCGCGCGCACACGGCGCGGCTCATGGCGCCCTCGTAGTGCAGCGGGCGGCAGATGGCGGCGTAGCGGTCGTAGGCCATGGCCGTGAGCAGCAGCAGCTCCGCCCCCGCGAAGTGGATGACCAGCAGCACCTGCAGCGCGCAGCCCGGCCGCGAGATGGCGGCGCTGTGGGCCAGCGCGCCCAGCGCGGACTTGGGCACCGTGACGGAGACCAGCCCGGCGTCCAGCAGGGACAGCTGCCTCAGGAGGAGGTACATGGGCGAGTGCAGGCGCGCGTCCAGGGACACCAGGGCGGCCACCAGGAGGTTGCCCGCGAGCGCCAGCAGGTACAGGAGCAGGAAGAGGCAGCCGTGCAGCAGCTGCAGGCGCGGGGAGCCCGACAGCTGCAGCAGGATGAAGCCGGCCCCCGCCGAGAGGTTGGCCATGGCCTCGCTCGCTCCTCCTGTGGGGACAAAGCAGGTGAGGACGCCACTGCCCCCCTCCCTCCCCCGCAGGAACTCTCTGCAGTCACAGGTGCCCTTGGGAAGGCGGGGAGCCCCTGGGCGCCTGAGGTTAAGCCGGGGCCGGGGCGGGGCCTCAGCAGGGTTGGGGGGCGTCTGTTTACCCTCAAGTCTCCATCTCCCAAGCTCCTATCCTAGTCCAAGGGCTCAGACTTGGGGGATCCCTGGCCTGACCGAGGCCCTTAGAGCTGCCAAGACGGCGGCAGCCCCTGAGCAAGCACGTGGGGTGAGGTGCCAGCTGCTGTCCCTGTGCCCATGCGGGCGGCCCTCCCTCTGTTCTGAGGATGGACACATGAGCTGGGGGTGGACGCTGATGGAGGCCCCCACAACGAGGGCTGCCCACCCGGTGGGAAGCAGGGGAGCAGCAGGTAAGTGGGGCTCATGAAAGCAGCCCAGGAGACTCTGATGAGGGGACAACACTGGTCTCTCTGGGGACGCCGAGGCGTGGGGTGCTCTGGCCACTGCAGTGAAGGAACAGGTTGGCTCTCAGTGGACTTCTGTGCAGATGCTGCGCCTGCTGGGCTCCAGAGGGAGGAGGCCGTGGCCACTGCAGGCAGGACAGCCCCAGGCTGGGCGTGGGTCAGAGGCCTCAAGGTCATGGGGTCATGTCCCTGTGCAGAGGCCTCTGCAATGTCTGGGGGTGACTGTCTGAATTGGGTGGGTGGGCACTGGTGGGGGGCAGGGCGCAGCTGAAGGGGGTGCTGGCTCTCCTCATGCCCTGCCCCCACCTACGGGTGAGCTCCAGGCCACATCCTCCCTGGAGGTCGAAGTCACTGCCTGATTTCTGAGCGACTCCCTGTGGCCCTCTGCAGAGCCTGAGGCTGCGTGATGTGGGCCAAGGGCAGCCCCTCCGAGGCCTCCTCGGGGTCCCTGTCACCCCTCTGCGTGTCACGGGCTGGGAAAGGCCCCGGGTGGAAGCAGGACACAGAGGCGTCCCTGAGGAGCAGGTGGTGGACTCGTTTCTGGTCCTGAGTCCTCTCCCCTCTGTGCACAGGGAGGCGGCTGGGCTCTCGTGGGGGCTCTGGCTCCGGGCCCGGAGGACGCGCAGGTCAGCCTGTCTGGCCTGTTGGCTGCCTGCTGCCCCCTCTTGCCCGGAGCGCCCCGGGAGCTGGCCCCCTTCCACCCGAGGAGCAGCCGGGCAGGGCTCTGGGGTGCGGAGCCGACTCCTCAAGGGCTGTGTTCTCTGGGCAGAGGATTCGCACGTCAGTGTGCAATTCTTCTTTTTTTAAGATTTAGTTACTTATGTGTACAAGAACGGGTACAGGCCAGAGGTGCGGGGGGTGAGAAGGATCTGAAAGTCTTTTTTGATCTAGGTTTCCTGGTGAGGCTGTTCGAGGAGCTGCTGCGAGGGACCGAGCGGAGCCCCCGCCCCGGGGCATGGTCATTCCCTTGATTGGGGAACTGCGGGCGGCAGGTCCGTGGGTGGCTGAGACTGGCTCGGACACAGCAGGCGGCGCGCTGTGTAGACGGGCCTGCCTGGCGAGGGGCCTGCTCTGGCCCTGGGGCCCCCGAAGGGGCAGTTCCGAAAGAACTGAGGTGGGGGCCCAGCCCTGCCCTATGTCTGCTCCTTGCTTGCAAATCACTTGTGCGGGAGAAGCCTCTGACCGCGCTGCCGCCAGGCCCTGGGCTGCTCCTCCCGCCCGTCTTCCTCCCACGGGGGAAGCCGGGTTCAGACTCACCTGCAGACTCGGGTCCCAGGTCCTGCTGGCGCCGGGCCTGCGCGCGGCTGGAGGGGCAGAGAGAGCGGCCGTCTGTCATCCTCCCTGGGTTTTTAAAGAACCCGAAATGGTTTGCAGTCCCCTCGTCCTTCGGGGACAGTGGACGCCAGACGAGTGTGGGTCTCCCGGGACGTGGGGGCTCGGGCCCTGAGGACCTGCCTGCCCGGCCCCGCAGGGTCCCCGGGGCACCCGGCCGCCCACGCCTGTGCCAACGGCGAGGGAGCGGAGCCCGCGCTGCGAGGACCCGGCTGTGCCGACAGAGACGCGGCCGCCGGGGAGTGGCGTCTGGCGAGTGCTGCTGCTCCTCTCCCGGAGGGCCGCTGTCCTCTCCTCGGAGGCTGGGAACCCACATTTTAATTAAACCATTTCTCAAACTTGAACTGTGGAGACATGGACGGAGCAGCCCTTGGTGCTCCCCGCCGCATCCTCGGAGACGTGCCCTCCTGGGGCAGCGCCGCAGGCCTGGGCTGGGGGTCCGAGGCCGCGGGGCAGAGCCGGCTGGGAGGGAGCGAACGTGCTTGGGCACCGGGCCCCACATGTTTTTATTTTAGGAGATTTCATTTCCACTTTCTGGCCCCAGTCATTACAATGTAAAACGAACAGGCTGGCGTTCACCGTCCTGAGAAAATCCACCAGCGGCTGAGAAGGGCTCGGACACAGCAGGCGGCGCGCAGTGTAGACGGCCCTGCCTGGCGAGCGGCCTGCGCTGGCCCTGGCGCCAGAGTGCCTGAAGCACCGGCATCTCAGTGCCTGAAGCACTAGCAACACGGGCTCAGCGGGTGCGGGAGCCCCACGCCACCCTCAGCGTACACGACACCTCCTGGACGAGGGTCCAGAGGGAGGGACGCAGTGGGAGGCCAGGGCTTGGCTCCCTCCTGCTGACACGGAGGCGGCCCCTCTCGCCAGCCTTTCAGGGGCGAGATCTGCTGAAGCCTCATATTCAGGTCTGAGCAGGCCCCACCCCTGACCGATCCACCTCACGGTCTGTGAAGACGGCCCCCGGAGCCTCAGTGCTGAGAGGAGCAAGGAGAGAGGCCAGTGATGACACAGGGACATGCCAGGACACATGACGAGGATGTTGGTGTAAAGATGCTCGGGCGCTGACTGTCACGCGCCCCAGCACAGAACAGCCGCCCAGCAGGGGGCCCAGAGCACCAACACTCAGGGCTGAAAAGTGCAAAACGTGCAATAAAGAAATGGATCAGCTCAAACTGGGATGGGGCCATGGCCAGAAAGAATTGGTGAATTTGAAGGTAAAACGACTCAAATTAACCCATGTGGAGGAAGGCGAGGGCAGCATCGCCGGGCAGCGGCAGGGGCAGAAGGGTGACGTCGCCCAGGAGCACAGGGCAGCTGCCTGGCCTGGGATGTGCAGGGTAGGGTCCACGGGGCTCCTGTGGGGGCGCAGCCTCAGGGCCCAGGGGCCACACACAGCAGAGAGTCCCCACGACCCACACCCAGGGACATGCAGGGCTCCCCGAAAAACTCAGAGATGGCCGGTATCCCGCGGGCCCCAAGGAGAGCAGGTCAGCCCAGCAGAGCCCTGGAGCGCCCGCGGGCAGCCGGACGGGGCAGGACGCTGAGAAACAACACAGCTGCGGGCGCCTGGGTGGCCACTGCATGTGGTCTAGGGGCAGTCGCACCCCCACTGAGGCCCATGCCCCGCCCCCTCCCTCTGCAGTCCCTCCTCCCCCCACATTAAAATGAACCCTGGCATAGCTTCTGTTAAAGTAAATGGGTTGTTTTGAATGTTAATTAGTATTAAGTTCATCAATGCCAAATGAAATGTTGGATGAATTCCTTCTAAAATATTTTCCTGTGAATTATGTAGCTTTTTTCCAAAAGAACAATTTTATAATAACATAAGAAGGAACAATATGAAAGTATTAAGCATTTACCTTTTCAACTTTATTAAGATATAATTTACAAATAAAATTGTAATTTATTTAATTATGCTACAAGCTGATTTTACACTGCAAAAAGTATTTCAGTATAAGAATTGATCAGTTTTAAAAATTCATTATCTGACCCAAAAGCACATTGTTTTTACACAACAAGGACATCTAATGTTTAGAAATATTTAATATAGGGTTTAATAATTTTTCTTTCACAATTATATACAAATATTAAAAATAAAACCTTGAAGACACCAAAAGAAGAGAACCAGCCTGGAGTCTGGATGGGGAGAATGACATGGTCCAGCAGGTGTGAACAGCGCATCAGCCAGCACTGCCTGGGGTCGTGACACAACTGCCCACTGGCCTTGGGCAGTCCCCTAATCCTTCGATGTTTCCATTTTCACGTGAAGAAGAAATTAGTAGTCGTTACCGCGAAGTCTTTTTGACCAGAAGTAATTGACAAAATCATGTGAACCACTTAGATCTGCAGACAGGCTTGTCACCACTGCCGCCACCATCCCCATCACCACCTCCGCCACCATCCTCAATATCACCATCACCATCATCACTGCTATCACCATCACCATCATAACCATCACCACCACCACACTGTCACCACCCTCACCATCAACATCACCATCACTATTATCACCACCACCACCACCATCACCACAACCACCACCACAACCACCACCATCACCATGACCACCACCACAACCACCACCATCACCATGACCACCACCATCAATATCACCATCACTGTTATCACCACTGTCATCATCATCAAAACCATTGCTTCAAAACCAGGAAAAATTATTCTTACTCTTGGTTTTACTGAAAGGAAGGATAGGTAAAAGGGAAAAAGCTTTTTGGGGAAACAGGGAGAAAAATGAAAAGAGAAATAATACAGAAAATATGCCATAATCAATATGGAATCTGAAAAGATTGTTCTTTTTTAAGAAATAAGGAAAATAAATATTAGGGACATCAGAAAGAAAAAAGGAGAAATTCGAGAATGTGAGGGCAGTGAAGAGAATAATGGAGGGATGAAGAAATAAAATCCAAAATGATAAAAATGAAGTAGATTCCACAGAAATGTATCATATTTAGAAGTAAACTAAACATAAAAGTAAGTTAAGATATAATTTTAAAGTTAATGAACTATAAAGCTAGAAATAATTAAATTTGGATGTAAGTGAAAAGGAACGTGTTAAAATTTAGAAGACTTTGAAAGTAAATGCTAATTTGTTGATAAGTTGTTAAAAATCACACGTAAACTTATGTGAAACAAGATGTGAAATACAAAGGGTGGGGAATGAAAGAAGTGTCATGGCTTAATCTGTTCCTGATGCACAAAAATAACATTTTTTTCTCAGTTTGGACTGTAGGCACCACTGAGAGCTGCCACCAGCATCTGCACAAACCAACCTGAACACGGTGGCGGTGCTCCCGGCGTGCGCATGGGGCACGCAGTGATCAAGTGACTGAGCTGCTAGAAACATCAAGCCAATATTGACAAATGAGGGGGGAATGTAAGACACTTAGAATTACTCATTCACGTTAACTGTTGCAAGAAAAATTGGACAAAGATCCTGACTGGGAAGTGCAATAAAATGTGAAACCGTGGAAACTGTATGAGTCTTCCCAAGTGGAGACAAACAGAAACAGTCTCCACCTCCTTTACCTGGCCCTGATGTCCACGTGATGCCTGGGGTATGGCCACAGAATTGAAATGGCTGGGCACTCCCCAGTTTTTGGGGTAATCAGTAACTGGAGTCGAGAGTGGGGTGAGCATTGAATGGTTTTCACGCCATTAATCTCACCCACAGATCAAGCCACTGAGAGTTTAGATCTCAGTGTCATTCTTTTCACCAAAAATTTTGCTAAGGGCCACTTTCATGTCCTTGTTCCTCAGACTGTAGATGACGGGGTTCAGGCTGGGGGGCAGCAGCGAGTACAGCGCAGAGATGAAGAGGTTCAGGGAAGAAGGGGATTTTGAAGCTGAACCTAAATATGCGATAAATCCTGAGGAGAGGAACAGGGTCACCACCGAGAGGTGGGGCAGGCAGGTGGAGAAGGTCTTGAATCTCCCCTGGGTGGACGGAATCCTCAGGACAGTGGAGAAAATGTGAGCGTAGGACACGACCATTAAAAGGAAACACACAAAAGAGAAACCACAACTGCCCACGAGGAAGGTGTATTCCAGCCTCTGCTCCCCGGGACAGGCGAGCGCGAGCAGCGAGGGGACGTCGCAGAAGAACTGGTGCACGATGTTGGACCCGCAGAAGCGCATGGACAGGGTCCCCGCCGCGTGCAGGGAGCCATAGACGCAACCACTGAGCCAGGAAGCCGCCGCCATCCGCACGCAGGCGGCCCTGCTCATGAGGACCCCGTAGTGCAGCGGGCGGCAGATGGCGGCGTAGCGGTCGTAGGACATCGCCAGCAGCAGCGCGAACTCCGAGCCCGCGAAGGCGATCACCAGGAAGACCTGCGCGGCGCAGCCCCGGAAGGAGATGGCCGGGCCGCTGGTCAGCGTGTTGGCCACGGACTTGGGCACGGTGGTGGAGATGAAGCAGATGTCAACCAGCGACAGGTTCTTGAGGAAGAAGTACATGGGGGTCTGCAGGCGCTGGTCCGCGGAGGTGAGGGCCACGATGAGCAGGTTGCCCGCGACGGCGGCCAGGTACGTCAGGAGGAAGACGCTGGCGCAGAGCCTCTGCAGCGCCCTGTCCTCGGGGAGCCCCAGCAGCAGGAACTCCGTGACCGGGGTCACGTTGGAGACGCCGTCACCCATGGTGGGGCTGGTGTGTGGCAACATCAGAAAAGGGCTTATGGAGAATCTCTGTCTTCTTGGTGGCTCCGCCTTGGGCTCTTATCGCTCCCCAAGTTGCCGCTCCTGAGTCACCACCCAAGCTCGGCTCCTGCAGGCATGAGGCGGCTTCCAAGTGGGCCCTAAGGATGTGAGGACGGTCTGTGACAGCACAGCCTGGAACTGCTGCATCAGCCACAGAAATGTCACTGACAAGCCCACGAGGAACGTAGCAGGACAGTGTTGCATCAAACAGAGCAGTGACGTGTCCAGTCAGAGCGGGAAGCTGCCTCAGCTCCTGGGAACTCACCTGGAAGTTTCGGCCTGCAGAGTCCGGGGTTTCTATATTGTTCTCTGTGGACCTGGTCACAGCTCTGGTGAGTGGGCGAGGGGCTGGGGCCTCCGTTCCCCAGGTGAGCAAAGCTGGTCCACGGGTCGCCGTGGGGTGGCCACGGCGTTAGCAGCACGGAGGCCACGACCTGGCCCAGCACACCTGCTCAGCTGAGGGAGACGTGACAGGCCCCGAGGAGCTACTGGTTCAGGCTGGATTTCAGGCCCCGAGCAGGGGCAGCTCCATCATCAGCTCCGAGCAGTGTTGTCTCTGGCGACTTGGCTGCCCTCCTGTGCCCGCAAGCTATTGTGTGCAGGAGCCGGGGCCAGCTCTGCCGCTGGAACAGCTCACCGGGCCTGCTGGGACCCGCCTTCCTGGCCAGGGTTGATCTCTAGACCTGGGGGCTTTGTCCCGAGGCGAGGCTGACACGGGCCTCTGTCCCTCGGGGTGGGGGGGAGACCTGAACGAGCTGACCTGCGTCCAGAAGGGTGCACGTGGTTGTCACACACTGCTGAGCAGTGGCATCCTGGGCTAGCCTCTGCTCGGCCAGGCTCAGGGGCAAAGGAGACTTATATGGGCCGAGCCTGGTCGTGGGTGCCCCAGAGACCAATTAGCACAAAGCTGACGAGCTGAGTGCTGCGAGAGCCCCACGCTGAGGGCACCACTGCCTGTCCTCGGAGGCCACTGGGTGGGCCAGGGTGCCTGATCCTCCATCCAACCAGTCGTCCAGCTGTGAGACCTGATGACCAGGATGGATTTCACTGGCCTCTGAGGGGGAGTGTGGGTCAGGACTGGCGCTGGGAGTGACCACGGCATCCTCCCCGTCCTGTGCAGCGGCCGTCCCCTCTGTCCTGGCTGAGCGTGACTGACCCCACACACGACAGCCGGCAGAGAAGGGACCATGTGGCGTTCCTGCATCTTCATCTGACTTCTCATCCAAGGAGATATTCTCAGACTGTCCTGTGTGTGTGGCCACATGTTCTGTGTATTTGCAACACACAAACATGCACATGTATGTTAACACAAAGTGCAGAACATGATGCATCTGTCCCTTACCCGGGGTCTTCCCATGAGTCTTGCACCTGCTAATTTTCCCCTGAACAGTTTCCAGAACCTGTGTTAATAGTAGTACGGACGGCAACCCTGTTTGTAAAGGCTTATCCTTCAGGGTGTGGAAGAAAATTGTTTAAACCCTCCCCACCCCGATTTTTAAAAAGTACAAGTAAACTGTGAACAGATTTCATTTTTTTAAAAAGATTTATTTATTTATACGAGCACTGGGGACCGTCAGAAGCGCGGGAGGGTGAGAGGACTCGCCAGAGCCAGAGCGGGGAGCAGAGCAGGCAGAAGGACCGAAGGACACTGCTGAGGGGAGCCGCGGGCGGCAGGAGAGGTCTGCGCGCCATGCGGGACCCTCGCCGGTGGCCGGGGAGCAGCCGGGGATCGAACCGGCGCTGCAGAGGCCGCGGGCAGCTTCGCAACCCAGCGCTCAACCGCTGCGCCCCCGGGGAGGCCCTGAACAGATTACATGTTTGTAGCGACAAGCAAATGGTTTTGTTCAAGAAAGTGCTGAGGATAATCAGCTGAGGAAGCAGCTCCATCTGCAGCCGCACCGGCGTGGGCGTGGGCGGAGGCGGCCCGAGGGCGCGGTCCCGCTGGGAGGGTCTCAGGTTTGAGGTTCACTTACCTTCTCCCGAGACCTCCCCCCTGTGCTGGGGCCTCGGTGCCCGCCCGGGCCGTGCGGGGCCCACAAGGCCTGGAACGACATCTCGGCCCGGCAGCGCGGCGCGGGCGGGTGGGCTCCCCCGCACCCCGGGAGCTGACGAGAAAACGCTCTGCGTGACGTGCAAGCACACGCGAACCATCTGTACGAAGGAAATCTCGGAATCATGAAGAAAACCTGAGAGGCCCCGTGGTGGACTCGGGGTGCTGTGGGGCGGGGGATGGTGTTCACGGCGCTGCCCCCGCCGTGGCCCCTCAGTCCAGGGGCGCCCAGTCTGCACCCCACTTGGCCGAGCAGACGCCTCCTTTCCTCCAGCACCTCGGACAGCCACCCGCGCAAGCGCCCCGCCGGGAACGCCGCGCCCCGTGACACACACGCCCGGGAGCCGCAGGCCGCGCCCCCGCTGCGCACACGCGCCGCCCGTCAGGACACGCGCGGCCGCCGCCCGTCAGGACACGCGCGGCCACGCGCACTCGCGCCCCGTGACGCGGAGCGGCCGCCGCCGTGACGAGCTCTCGCGCTCCCGTCACCCTGACCGGCCCCTCAGGCGGCGCGAGGCCGGGGCGGGCAGCGCCACAGGGGGCCGGGGTTCTCCGGCCAGAGCCGCCCAAGGCCCAGAGGCCGAACCGCGACGCCGCGCGCTCTGGCCCGGCAAGGACGGGGCCCTGGGGGTCAGCCCCGGCGGCGGGGGCCTCCCCCGCGCGCCCGCTCAGGCCTCGGGCCCGGCACCTCCCCCGCGAGGCGGTCACGAGCAGGGGATGCGGCCTCACTGCGCCTGCGGGCGGCGGTCACCCCGCACCAGGCACGCGCTCTGTGGGGGGCAGGCGCGGGGCGCAGGCGCCTCCCGGGCCAGTCAGGCCCCGTCCCAGGCCCCGGAGGCGGCTGTCCTCCGCCCCCTCTCAGCGGCTGGTGGCAAGCCGGCATGCAGCAGCCTGATTGGGGGCGACCGAGGCGCCATTCCCCGACCCAGGAAGTGGCCAGGGCTCTGAGGGGCAGAAAGAGGCGGGTCCTGGTAACGAAGGTCTGATTGGACCATTGCGCACCAATCAGCTCACAGCTCGCCCCTGATTGGCTGCTGCCACGATCCCGGAAGCACACTGTTCCATAACAGGCCTCTGGGGAGCACCTGCCTCAAGGCCTTGTGGAGGCGCCACCGGGCGGAGACAGCCCTGCCCCTGCCGGACGGCGCTGAGGCCGCGGGGCTGGTAACGGTTCCAGCCCGACGGAGAAGGAAGAGGGAAGACCCCATTCCAGGCCCCCGAAGAGAGAGGAAAAGAGGCGTCCAGCAGCCGCCCTCCAAGGAGGGACGAGACGCTGACGGCTTCTGCCCCGCCGGCGCCTGAGTCTCGTCTCTGACGGGGCCTGAAGGGAGCCCCACGGCCCGGGCCTGGCGCCTCACAGAGCTGCGTGTCGTTGGGGTCACCCGGCAGCTCACAAGGAGCCGTGAACACTGGGTGTCTCCGCCCCGGCCTCTGCGGGACCAGGAGTGACCAGCACTCCTGCCCGGTGCTGCTGCCCAGCACTCCTGGTGGCCGGCGCTGACCGTCACCGGTGCTCTCTGGGCGAGCGGCCGCCTGGGTGGCCACAGCGAGCTCTTTGTTTCCCTGTTTGTAAATCAACCCGTGGAGGCTGTTCCTGGAGCCCGAGGCCTCTTGCAATTGTGCGTGTGGGTGAGACCCACAGACAGTGGCCCGTCCTCGCGTGGGCCCCGTCCTCTGTTAGGCTCGAGCCCACAGGCCCTGCTGTGGGGGTGTCGCCTGCTCTAGCCCTTGGTTTTGGGCCTTTGGCATTTGCGAGCTTTCTGGTGGCTCTCTGGGCTCAGGGCCCGGCAGGGGTTGCCTGTTTCATCCTTCCTTTCCTCTGGCTCCTGTCTTGTTGCCCTTTTGCTCAGTCGGCCCCTATTTTATTCAGTTATTTATTTATTTATTAAGATTTATTTATTTATTTTTATATAAGAGCCTGGGTACAAGCCAGAGTCGCGGGAGGGTGAGAGGATTCACCAGAGATAGAGCAGGGAGCAGACCAGGCAGATGACAGAAATACACTGCTGAGGGGAGCAGTGGGCACGACAGGAGAGGTCTGCGATGCCATGTGAGATTCTCGCTGGTCAGCCAGGATCGAACCTGTGCTGCAGAGGTTGAGGAGGCTGAGGACAGCTTCACAGTGTGGAGCTCAACCCGCTGTGCCTCGGAGGAGTCTCTCTCCCCGTTGTAATACCACTGTGAACCCACACTCACCACCAGTATGAACACACACACACAAGTGTGAACACACACACTCACACCACTCTTAGTGCTGAGGCGCTGGGTATTCCCCAGGGAGGAACAAGACAGTCATTCTTTGTAAAAATCTTGGAAACATTTTTATTGAGTCACTGATTATTTTTTCCCATCACGGTTTCCATCACAGAACCACAGGACCCCTCTCCTCAGGCCTCTTATCACAGTAGCCCCCACCGAGACCCAGGCCCTTCTCTCCCAAGTGCCCCTTCCGTGTCCCTGCCGCTGCCTGCCCCAGGGAGCCTCCCCCTCGCTGGCTGGACTCTCAGCCTGCAGTTGGCCTTGCCTGGCTCTTCTGTCTCCTCTGCCCACACGCTTGTGGCCCTGCCTAGCATTTGTTTTTCTCCCTCTGACTGATTTTGCTCACCAACTGCCTTTCCTGCTCCCCACATGCTGCCTTGATGGCAAGTTTATTGTTTGTGATGGCTGAGTAGTGTTCCATTGTGTGCGTGTGTGCGCTATATGACTGTGTTATGTATGTGAATGTGTGTGAGAGTTTTGTAGGTTGTGTATGTGTCTGAGACCTTTTTTGCGCATGAATGTGTGTTGTCTTGAATGTGTGTAGCATGTTTGTGTGTGTATATATGTGAGTGTTGTGTGTGTGAATATGTTACTATGGGTATGTGTGTTTGAGAGTAATCATGTGAGCATG